AAAATAATAATAATAATATGTGTCTTTAGTGGGATACCCATGTTAGGGGCAAGAGCAAATGTTTCCTATTTCTTTTATTTTACATCTGCCTTTGCATGCAGTGTTCTTCTAAGTGTCAGATATAATTTAGATCAGTATAGGATTAGTTTGCTTTGGCACAAAAATTATTTAATAAAAGTATTTTTGAAGATCATGTAGTAACCACAGTTGTGTAGCAATTAGTGAGAGACTGACGATTACTATACTCTTTCTTTCTTTTGAACAGTAAGGCAATGGCTTTCTATGCACTCGAGAGCCTCGGACTTAGCAACAATATCAATAATTCTAGCAAAAGTTGAACAAAGAATCACATGTAGTAATATTCAAGGTATAATTTCTTAACCTACATTAGCAGGTTAGCAGGCCTGAAGCTCGAGAGGAAGAACTGTCCTGGAGGCACAAATATAAAAGCAAACATCAGATCTCATATACAGAAAGACACTACTCAATTGGTGAAGAGTTCTCCAAGGAAGTGCCCGAGGGCACAAAATGTCCTTCTGCTGCAACCTTGACCCGTCAATCACCATGCCATTTTTGTAATGATTTTTCATTTAATAAAGAGAACACGATTCTGCACCAGTTAAGGAGTGACTTTCTATTTATTTGATCTGATATTTACTTTTACATATCTATTATGCTTTTATATATCTATTATTATACTGCTAAATATTTTAAAATCAAGCTTATTTTATGGTAACATTTTGGTGAATTTGTATTTTTATTACACTATCAGTCCTTTAATGCATTTTTTCTAAACTGAGATTTATATCTATGTACAGGTTTTCTATGATTATTGTTAAAGTAACAAATTACTGCTAAGTGTATTGGAGCAATATTGTCATAAATGGAGATACCCTTACATAAAAACCCAAAGGAAACAGTAAATTAACACGTACCAATAAATTGAAAGGCTGGGCAAGTGCCTGAGATAGATAAATGAAATGTCTGCAAGCAAACAGAGAATAAACGAGAGATAGGCAGAGGTCTAGGAATATAGAGATACATAGAAAAGATAGTCAGGCCAAGGTCAGAACAACAGAGTAAAGAATAGTCAAAGGAGACAAGGTCGGAAAACAGTAAATTCAATACACAGTGTAAACACACTCTCAGGTAACAAGAACCATGATGGGTTGTGATTGGTTACAGAGTACCATAACATCACAAATGTGTATACATCATCAAAAAGACTGATACAACTGATAAGAAGACCAATGGAAGGGTTCCGTGTTATATGTGATGACATAATGAGGCACCAGGAAGAAAGGGATGAGTAGGTGTGCATCAGAACACAGAAGAGACATTATTTCTGTGATTGGACTGTGCCGCAAGGGAATATAGTGGTTAAATGATAATTTAGAAAGCACTGAATAGTAGACAAGTATATAATAGCTTACCCCTCTGTACTTTTCACACTGAGCTCACTTGTGAGTAACTTCTGCTACATATATACCAATACCTTTGTGTGTGATCACAGCCACTACCAATAACATGTCACTTTTTGAAAGTAGCAGAGGGGTAAGCTATTATCTGCTTGTCTCCTATTCAGAGCATATTCTATGTTTCTATTGATTATTTATGGATGTCTGGATTGACATAAGTAACAGATGGTATCAATAAGTCACAAGGTTTTCTTGTATGAGAACTCTGGAATGTGGATTGGGGGTCTTATCCTTATATGGCAATGTATGGAGTTATACTCTGACGTCAATATGGGAACATCTATATAGTAACTGGACAAAGGGACACAAGGTTTCTCTCTCTCTTTCACCTCTTCTAACGATGTAACAATGTAACTCTCCGTTCAGGAGTCCAGCAATTATCATCTGCTGTTGAACATCCATTATCATGTAACATCCTTTGTTGTTTTATTATGTATCAGTAACTAAGAATAAACTAATAAACCATAAGTCAGATTGCGTATTAGTACTTTTCATTACTATAGACGTATATTAATGTTTCAAGCCTTTGACCCAAGACTACAAATACAAAAGACGTATATATATCAATCAACTGAAAAAAGAAGAATAAACTAAAATTATTACATAGGGTTTATCCTGTTAATCATTTTTTCCTATGTATTTATGGTGAGGGAAGAAAGGTATCCCCTCACGGGTGTTTAAGAGCAGCTATTCATGCGTTGATTTTGAAGTGCTACTTACTGTTCACACTGAGCTCACTTGTGAGTAACTTCTGCTAAATGATAATTTAGGTTACAATAAATTGTTATAAATGTTATACTGATATCTCCCTCCCTGTGTTCTCCCTCTCTCCATTTTAAAAGTGCCATTCAATTACTTAGATCAAATTAGAAAAATAAATTATATATATATATATATATATATATATATATATATATATATATTTGTGTACGGGGTAATAATAGGAGGTATAATTAAAATTGTGTAATTCGATAAGAACAGAAGTCAGTTGAGGTGTGCCAAAACCGATGAGAGGTTAGACCTGCAATAAAGAGGGCCCACCAGATATGAATATGAATAATAAAGGGTGAGGTGGGAGGGGAACTTCCAAAAAAGGCGACGACAGGTAAGCAGAGGTTACTGGGAGTTTAAATAGGGAAAACAAATGCTTCCACAATTTCAAACATATGCCTTACACTTGTGTACGGGGTAATAATAGGACATATAATTAAAATTATGTAATTCGATAAGAACAGAAGTTGGTTGAGGTGTGCCAAAACCGACCAGAGGTTAGACCTGCAAGAAAGAGGGCAAAAATTAAGAAAACTATTTTTATTTATATTTCCACAAGTAACAATTAGAGTTGAGGGAACCCGAACTGAAAAGTTCTGGTTCGTACCGAACATTAGGTTTTTTTGGACCACGGACCCGAACACGGACATATCACTGTATGTTCGGGTTGGAGTTCAGTGTTCAGCGATTTAATGGCGTGTTTTCAAAGGCTGCAGGGCAGCCAATCAACAAGCATTTGACTCGTGTGCCCTTAGAAGCCATCACAGCCATGCCTACTAATGGCATGGCTGTGATTGGCCAGTGCAGCATGTGACCCAGCCTCTATGTATAAGCTGGAGTCGCGTAGCGCCGCACGTACATGCAGTCTTATTAGTGTAGGGAGAGTATGCTGCCGCTGATAAGGACAACTTAGGAAAGAATTCTGCAAACTAGTACATTAGTGGGGTGTGGTGCACTTCATATCTGAGAGTCAAAAAGAAGCTTCAAATACCGCGGTTACATCGGAGTTTCAAAAAGTCAATTTTTTTTGGTGCTAAATAGTACATTAGTGGGGTGCACTTCATATCTGAGAGTCAAATAGAAGCATTAAATAATGCTGTCACATTTCAGTTTTAAAACTTAAAATTTTTTGGGTCCTAAACTGCTTAATAGTATTTTAGTGGGGTGCACTTCATATCTGAGAGTCAAATAGAAGCGTCTAATAGTGTGCTTACAGCGCAGTGGTAAATATTCTTATTTTCTGGGTGCTAATCTGCTAAATAGTACATTTTGGGGCATGCACTTCATATCTGAGAGTCAAATAGAAGCGTCTAATACTGCGATTACAGCGCAATTGTAAACATTCTAATTGTTTTGGTGCTAAACTGCTAAATAATACATTTTGGGGCCTGCTCTTCATATCTACAAGTCAGGCTACAACAAAATTAAATAAGTTTTAAAATATGTATGGGCCAACCAGTGGCTGTAAACAACAAAGTTTTACTGGTTACATTCATGACTACACACTCTAGTGAACAGGACCTTCATGTAGTGTGTTCTTTTTTTTTTTTAAATCATACAGCATCCTTTCATGTGCTTTTCAGATGTCATATTGTGAATTACCAATTTTTGTGTTGCCTGATTTTTTTAAAGAAGCATTAATATACATTTCGATATTGTGTAAAGACACAACTACAAAGTTAAAAACCAAACACCAAAACAATGTGCCAGACAATCTACCTGTGCATGGCTAGTGTGATACAATAAGTCTACATCTTAAAAATGCAATAACCCAGAAGATGGGCGAGAATTTTTGTTTGCAAAAAAGCTAAGAGGTACTTCAACAATATTGTAATTCTGAGGCAATACCCTCACAAGTCAAACTGAGAGGTCAGTTTATAGGGAAAACTGTTGCCTGGAGGAAATTCTAAAACAATTTCCATATGTCCTTTGCAGACTTTACATGCTGGAAAAACACAGGTGCCAACTGCTGTGGCTTTCTGCAGTGTGCATACCGGCAAGGAGGGCAGATGATGTGGAGGATGATGAGGTCCTAGACCCCACATGGAATCAAGGTCATGCGAGTGACGTGTGCAGTTTGGAGGAAGAGGAGCTGGTCGCACAGAGGCACCAGCACAGCATAAGAGGGAGCAGGGTGCAAAAGCGGAGCGGCCGTCCCCTAGCGCTTGTCGGCATGTATTAGCTCGAGAATTACCAGTTATCCAAGTAATACATGTAGCGATCAAAGGATCCATAATAGAGTTGAGCGAACCCGAACTGCAAAGTTTGGGTTAGTATCAGATTTAACGATCCATTCGTAGTTTCACAGTGATGTGAGCAGTCCAGTGACCAGGACCCAGACACTGTCTGGGCGGCGGTTGGACGACTGGCACCCAGTATGCCTGATGTTGAAGTTAGGAGTCACAGTATGGAATGGATTAGCAGGGTCTGGTGCAGGGTAACCACATGCCCCCTGGTGTTGAGCCACATACCAGGACCCTGATGCAGCATTCACTGTAGCGGCTGTGCGCACTTTTGGCGTTGTCACCCTGCTGCTGCTCGCCTGTCTGCGCTGCGGCGTAACTTCGGCCTTCCCGCTCACCGCCTCATGAGACTGTGCGAGTAGCAGCAGGCGATAGTGGAGTTTCAGCTGCAGCACGCATGGGTCAGTGGCTCTGCACCAGACTTCCCTCCAATTGATCAGAGTTAAAGGATTTCAAGTGGACTCATTACAATTACAGGGCCTCTAAAGAGTCCTGTATTGTTATTTGTCGTCACTACCTTCCCGCTTCGGGAGTGGGTCATTTGCGCGCATGCTGCCTTCCTTGCATGTGGTAGACATTTCTCAGGGTCCCTGTATGGAATGGAACCATGATTACCCGTTACCCGTGGTCACCATGATAGGCGCAGAAACTGGCATCGAAAGTTGATATGGATGACATCCGCATGCAAAGTCGCCGCCACGGGGATGTGCGATTTGCCCGAGGTTCTCTAGAGTCAACAAAGTTCCTGCACAACTATAATGTCAACAGCTATTCTGCAGAAAAGAGTTGTCTTTTTTTATCTGTGCCAATATTTTGGGGGCTACCCCAATTAAAATATATATATATATATATATATATATAAAAACAGTGTTGGCTACCTCATCCTCCTCCTCCACTGCCACGGTCACCGCCTCCTCAAGCTATGGGTCACTTAGTATAAACTATGTACACAATAGCAGAGGCTTGTGAAGGCCTTTTCTCCATGCATCAGGAGTTGAGCATTTCTCCATGCATCAGGACTGCAAGAAATGCACTGCAGGCTGCAAATGTTTATTTTGTTGTATGTCCCAATATTTTGTGGGCTACCACAATTACCAAAAAAACAAAACATAAAAAACTGTGTTGGCTACCTCATCCTCCTCCACCGCCATGGTCACCGCCTCCTCGACCTATGGGTCACTTAGTATAAACTGGGTAGACATTAGCAAAGGCCTTTTCTCCATGCATCAGAAGTTGAGCATTTCTCCATGCATCAGGACTGCAAGAAATGCACCGCAGGCCTCAAATGTTTCTTTTTTGTATGTCCTAATATTTTGTGGGCTACCACAATTACCAAAAAAAAAACCAGTGTTGGCTACCTCATCCTCCTCCTCCACTGCCACGGTCACCACCTCCTCAAGCTATGGGTCACTTAGTATAAACTATGTACACAATAGCAGAGGCTTGTGAAGGCCTTTTCTCCATGCATCAGGAGTTGAGCATTTCTCCATGCATCAGGACTGCAAGAAATGCACTGCAGGCTGCAAATGTTTATTTTGTTGTATGTCCCAATATTTTGTGGGCTACCACAATTACCAAAAAAACAAAACATAAAAAACTGTGTTGACTACCTCATCCTCCTCCACCGCCATGGTCACCGTCTCCTCAACCTATGGGTCACTTATTATAAACTAGGTACACATTAGCAGAGGCTTGTGAAGGCCTTTTCTCCATGCATCAGGAGTTGAGCTCAGTTTGAACAATGAAAGAGAATACCCTGCACTCCAACCCTCTCTCAAATGGATAATTCTGGTGATCCCCCTGACAGCCATGCTTTAGATTTTGATTTATGTTCTTCCAAAGCTAAAATCAAAGATTCCATCTAGTGCTATTTTATGGCTCAGCTGTATTTTTAATTTTTATGTTATTTTAAGTGATTTCCCTATCCACATTTGTTTGCAGGACACTTGTCCTACTCTTACCCCCATTTTACTTGCTTTTGCGGCTCTCTAGCTCTTTCCAGGAGTTTTTTAGAGGCATTTTTGTGCCCAAAAGTTCGTGTCCCCATTGACTTCAATGGGTTTCGGATTCGGGTGAAGTTCGGGGTCAAGTTCGAACCCGAACCCAGACTCTTTTTGAAAGTTCGGCCGAACCTGCTGGATCCGAACATCCAGGTGTCAACTGGGGGGCCTGTCTGGCTAGTTTTAGTATGAGGGATCGACAGTATAAGGTTGTTTACTTTTGTTTAGAATTTTTGCTTAAGGCATGACTTAAAGGCAGATGATTTTTCCACAGAAAATTCTTTGGGTCTCAAGAAACCGTAGAATTCTAAATATGCGGCTCTCTTAATTACCAGTTTTGTGAGTCGTGGAAAAGTCTTTTATCTATTAGTTCAGAGATTTTCCTAAAGATATTACTGTCTATGGGGAGTTTTTTAAAGGGTTTTTGAAATTTTAGTCTCTGATTACCTTTCAGTACGCTTTTATCTGGATATGAAAATAAGATTGGAGTTTTGTTTGGATATAGCGTTAACATGTAATGTATGCCTGTTAAGTATAGTTTAATGGTAATGTATGCTAGTTACAAAGAGATGTGGCAAAAAGTTGTGAATGCAACCATGGTTTCTACAGAAAAAAACATTTATTACATTAACCCCTTTAGACCGGAGGGCTAACTTTGGCCAGTGTTTGTGACCAAATGGCTACTAAAAAAGACTGGACATACCCCATTTGCAATACCTTGGGTTGTCTACTATTGCAAATGGTATGCCATTATGGGTGTATATTTCATTCCCGGGCTACTATACAGTCTCAAAGGCAACGTAACCAATCTGGCGAATTTCAATTTCAAATGTAACGTGCTATATTTGACCCTGTAACTTCCCAAAACGCCATAAAACCTGTACATAGGGGGTACTGTCTTACACGTGAGACTTTACTGAATACAAATATGTGTATTTTATTGCAGTAAAAGCAAACAGTATTATGACACTGACCGTTAAAATGTCATGTAGAACTAAAAAAATAAAAAAAATCGTATTTTCTCCCATTTTTTTCATATTAAATTATGTTTCATAGCTAAATATTTGATATTAAATGAAAGCCCTGTTTCCCCTGAATAAAATGATATATAATAAGGGTGGGTGCATTTACTATGAAAGAGGTGTATTACGGTTGGACAGACATGTAGCGCAAATGCCAGGTTTTGTTTACATTTTGTTTTGTTAACAACGTGTACATTTGGCTCCGTCCTTAAGGGGTTAAAGTCCCCCCAAAACTTCTTAAATAAGTCATATGCTCTAGTGTAAGCTTTTTTTGTGTTAATCGCCAAACCAGCCTGTGCAAGTGATCGACTGTGTTTTAACTTTGCAATAACGAGTGAAGTGACACTTTTTCCTTGCTACCACAAACCATAACATATCCATTCATTTTGTGGTACGTGACATTCCACATACTATTGTCACTTTCTATTGATGAATGCAATGTCAGGCTAATAACTAATGTAAAATCTAACATAAAATATAAACACACATCCTCTTAGCATTAAGGAGCAGTTATGACTGTAAATGTCACTGTTTGTTTTTCTGACAAATATGTCATATGTCAAGCGGAGGAATGTTTCATTAACCTAGCTAATGTAGAATACCAGGGTAACAGAACAGCATCAATGTTTCCTCATACAAATAATTAATGCATGACCGATTTTTATTTCAAACTCATAATTAATAGTTTGTAGTTTAAAATTCTGCCATGTGAACTCTTGCTACTGTTCAGATTTTCATTTATTAAAATGGTATTATTGTTATGTTTATAGAGCTTCATTTTTCTCAGTGGTGCAATGGAACTTCTTGTATGGGAATATTCTGTAAAGGTATCACTTTACATAATTTTCTCTAAATACGATAGATCACTGAAAGCTTCCCAGGAACATAGATTGTTATGTGGAAAAATAATAATTAGACATTGAAGTCAATCTGTCATGGAAGTTTCATGCAATAAGACCTCCTAAGATGTATTATTTATCATAAAATATCTAACCTATTTGTTTGGTAATGCTACCAACAGGGGTCTTTTGTTCAATATAAAGTAAAATATAGTTTAAGGTTTTATGTTACCAACAGAGGTCTCCACTACCCTCCAATAACTGCATCAAAATACTGTGGAACCTTGGACTCAAATGTTCCTGTTCACGAAAAATTCGGTATTCGAACAAAAATTTTGAGTAAAAAATGTCTCTGTACGTGATCGATACTCAGTACCCAAACACATCACGTGGTCACTTGGCATTCCCCTTTATGGTAATCTCATTGGTAAACTCATTGGTACCTCGTACAACAAAAGCTCCATTCTTGCAGCAAACAGCGCCATTTAGTCAGCTGAGCTCAATTCATTCTTCAAATTGAGTTCAATTCAGTCAGCAAACAGCTCCATTCAGTCTTCAAATAGACATTAAGTCTGCCAGCAAACACTCCATTCAGTCAGCAGAACTCCATTCAGTCAGCAGAGCTCCATTCAGTGTTCAAATAGAGTTTAATTCAGTCCTGAAATAGAGTTCAATTCAGTGTTCAAATAGAGTTGCATTCAGTCTTTAAATAGAGTTCAATTCAGTCTTCAAATAGAGTTGCATTCAGTCTTCAAATAGAGTTCAATTCAGTCTTCAAATAGAGGTCAATTCAGTCTTCAGAGTTCAATATAGTCTACAAATAGAGTTGTATTCAGTCTTCAAATAAAATTCAGTCTTCAAATAGAGTTGCATTCAGTCTTCGATTAGAGTTCAATTCAGTCTTCAAAGAGTTCCATTCAGACTTCAAATAGAGCTCCACTAACTCTTAAATAAATTGAATTGAGTCTTCACATAGAGCTCCATTCAGTCTGCAAAAACTCACCATGGGTCCCAAGGATAAGCCAACCAAAGAGGAAAATTATGAAAATGAAAAAAGAGTTAAAGAAAGAGATCATTTTAAAACTTGAAAGCAGTGTCAATGTCTGTGATCTAGCAACATAGTTTGGCGTGGCCAAATCTACAATTTGTACCATATTAAAAAATAAAGACGCCAGCAAAGGAGCCAATGTTGCTAGAGGGGTGAAAGTGATTACAAAACAAAGCCAGACACTAGAAGAAGTAAAACATTTTTTATTGATATGGATAAATGAAAAACAGTTAGCCGGTGATAGCATATCAGAGGCAATAATTTGTGAAAAGCAAGACATGTGCATGCTGATCTTTTGAAAAACACCCCTGAAATAAGTGCTGATAGTAAGGTTGTCAAGGCAAGTAGAGGGTGGTTTGAAAAGTTTAAAAAGAGAAGTGGCATACACCGTGTGGTGAGACATGGTGAAGCTTCCAGTGCTAACAAAGACGGGGCTGATACATTTCTTGTGGAATTTAAAGCCTATGTAGAGGCTGAGGAATTTGTTCCCCAAAAAGAGTTTAACTGTGATGAAACAGGCCTGTCTTGGAAGAAAATGCCAAAGAGGACCTACATACCAAAGGAGGAGAATTCATTGCCAGGACACAAGCCAATGAAGGACAGGCTAATCCTGTTGTTCTGTTGGAATGCAAGTGGGGATTTTAAATTGAAGCCTTTGCTAGTCTACCACTCGGAGAACCCGAGGGTATTTAAGAAAAATCATGTCCTGAAAAGCAAATTGCAGATGATGTGGAGGGCTAACAGCAAAGCTTGGGTAGCCAGGCAATTTTTTGAGTGGGTTCATGGGGTGTTTGAACCAAGTGTTAAAAAATACCTACAAGAAAAAAAAACTTACCTGTCAATGCTCTGCTTCTCATGGGTAATGCTCCTGCTCACTCTCCAGGATTGGAAGACGAATTGATGGAGGAGTTCAGTTTTATTACTGTGAAGATTTGCCCCCCAATACAATTCCTCTTATCCAGCTCATGGACCAGCAAGTAATTTCAAACT